GAGTTTGGGCACGTCCCAGAAAGTCAGGGCACCGTCCTATGAATCCCCTCTGGCCGGACATCTGGGATCAGTCACGGAGGAGCACAGCTGAGGGCTTAAGCAAGGCAATCTGCCCATCAGCGACCACAGACACCATAGTGCCCATGTTGACTGGGATACGGCTCACGAGTCCATCACAGACGTCAGGTACGGTCATTGGAGGACCTGTGTGCAGGATGGTCTCACCTGCTGAAAACAGTGCCCAGCACGGCTTCCTCCACGGTCTGGGATTGGTATGTTCGGGAATGCCATGAGAGTGGACTGGACAGAGGATGTTACACAGCCTCTGCTGTCCATGACGGCGTGAAGCACACTCTTGTGGATGTGAAGACATTTCCTGGCTGAATCCAGGCTCTCCTGTGCCCTGGCCGACCTGCTACTCCAATAAACAGGTTAAAAAAAATAATAATAATTCGGTCTTGAAATGTTTGAAAAGAGGCAAACAGAATAAAGAGACAAGGAGAAAATACTGAGTCTTAAGTATGGGATACACTGTGGTTTTGATTGTCACCGGTATACACACTTAGAGGACAAGAATGAGGTGCGGTGGTGTCCACAACCTGTCCTATGGCCAGTCCCCACGCCAGGGAGAAAACAGTGTCCTTATGAACAGCTGGGCGCTCACAGGCCGAGGTCACTGACCTAAGGTGCTGCCTGTGGTGGTGAAAAGTGCCTCACCCACAGGGTGACTGGCAACTCATTGTTTCTGCTGTGGCTGGAGAAACGCAGGATGACCCTTGTCCCATCTCAGAGCTTGGCAGAAGGACGTGCAGCTGTTCATATTTGACTTGGAATGGATGATCTCATGGGCCTCGAATGGGCCCTTTGCCAGCTGTCTGGACTACCGGGTGAGAGGGGCACGGAGACCAGCAGGGTAGAGGGGGGCCTAGAGCCCAATGGTTCAAAGAGAGCCCACTGGAGCAGAGAAGGGCAGAGGTAACACTGAAGCAGAGAGCCCACTAGGGCACAGAGCCCACCGGGGCAGAGACCATAGAGGCAGAGAGAGGAGTGGAGTGGGGCAGAGACCACAGGGTAGAGAGGGGCAGAGAGGTAGAGACAGGCAGAGTGGAGGACAGACAGAGACAGAGGACGCAGGAGAGGGACAGAGAGACCACTGGGCAGAAAAAGGCAGATGCGGCATAGAGACCAGCGGGAAAGAGAGCTGTAGAGATGGGCAGAATGGGACACAGAAAGGCAGAGACACAATTTGGGCAGGGAGCCAACCAGGGTGGAGAGATGACTGAGGCCGAGAGGGGCAAAGAGGAGCGGACGGAGGCAGAGAACCTGCTGGGGCACAGAGGGGCAGAAAGGAGCAGAGGGTCAGAGAGTCTAAAGGGGCAAAGGGTCCACCAGGGCAGAGAGGGATAGAGAAGGGCAGAGAGACCACAGGGTAGAGTGGTGGCAAAGAGGGACAGAGAAGGACATACCGGGGGGCGGGGACCACCGGTGCTCAGAGGGGCAGAGGAGCCGAG